CATGGCGTTGAGAGAAAGCGTTTGCCGAGTTTGGACCGGTTGCTGTATCGGCGGCCTTTTGTATCTATCAGACGGGCTGGTGAGGTAGCCGTTGAAGGATCGCGGCCCGACAGAGGCTGTGCAGTTGGCGGACTTCATGCAGCCCCCTGATTCGCCCTCAACGCTGTCCGCTTTTGTCTTGGGCCTGGCCCTACTGCGGTCTTGAGTGGAGCCCCGTCCCGATATCCGAGGAACAACGACCCCGATTGTCGATGCGTCCTTGTCAAACAATCCTGATATCCCCAACTTTGGCACGCTCCAGCCAGTCTGGATGCCCGATCAGGCCCACGCCAATGCGTTTGAATGACTTTTGCGAATCGTCCATCGGCTCGAGGAGAAGAGCCCAAAGAACCGATGGTCCTTTGCAGTCGTACTCGATCTTCCTGTCCGCGCCGATGCTCTCGGTTTCTGTAGATGGGCTCCCATCATTTCTGTCGGGACACTCCTCCTCCTCGACTCCATCCTCAGACCCGTCCTGGGTTCCACCCCTGCACCTCGTTCGCCAAAGCTTTTCTAGGCTCCTCTTGTCCTCGACTGCATCCTCTGCCTCCTTTTGCGCATCGTAGCGCCCCACGGCGAACCAACGGTTTTCCTCAACCTGGGTCAAGACGTTCAACGACCCCTTTGGCCTTTCACTGAGGAACTCCTTCGTGTCGCACACAAACAAATCATCGCGATACGAAGTCACGTATTGCTTGCCCGAATCCATCCTCCATGTCCCGCTGCCGATCATACGGTGGAAAACAAGTTTCTCCTCGAGCTTGTGACCATGCCAGCCAAGGTCACCAGTCCAGAGCGGGTCCAGCGCAAACCTCGGCGTCTCCATCAAGACAACGGCGTATGCTTCTCTGCTGGGCATGCAGCCCGGGTTGTCGAAGACTGCAAACCCAACAACGTCGTCCGGTGAAGAGTCGGGTTGCGCGCTGCGACGGATCGAGTGGACCGCTCTGTTGCAGTAGGTGTACGCAATGCGTTTCCGGAGGAACATCGTTTCAACCGACCAACGGCTGTCACCGAGTGGAAAGCCGATTGCCATCGGATTGAGCTGGTCGGCTCGGATCTTCGCCATTGGTGCTCTCATCTGCAATTCTCCGTTCTCGACCACCACAATCTCATTCTCGAAGATGTTGCGCGCCGGACAGAAGAATTGGTTAGTCGTGGTCAAGAAATTCAGCTTCCTGTGTCCTAGGCTTGATGCCCAGCTCCACGACGGTGCTTGGTTGGAGGTGCCCGCCGGCTGACCTTTGTGTCGAGGAACAGTCATCCAGAACAGGATCTGGGGCATGTCATCGGTAAACACACCAAAGTGATACTCGCCAGTCTTTGTCTGCCGGACTTGGTTCGCAATGCCTTGGAGCGCAACGAGGCGGTCCGTTTCGTATGTCAGCTTGCTCGACGAGTATTGCGCAAGTAGCACAGGCCATTCGAGACGCTCCTTCATGTCGTGAAACTTGTTCCGGATTTCATGCTCATCGTGTTGCAGGCAGCGGCACTTCCAGATGAAACCTGCCCGCGTGCAGAAGATGATGCGGCGTGAGAGGAACCACTCCTGAAAGACCCACGCCCGCGTCGAAAGCTCACTGTTGAGGGGATGGCTTGCTGTCTGCCTTTGGATCGGCGTCTGAGCAAAGCAGACTTGAACCAGTGGCGGATCTATATGCTGGGCGTGGTTACTGTGCCAGCTCAGAGGCACCTTGAGAATCTTCCCAGGTCTCTCGGCGACGAAACAACCTTGGGTGGGGTCTTTGGCGCACGATGCGGCAATGGTGAGCGCAGCGTGTTCGTCTTGGGAAAACGCAATGTCAGTGTCAGAGCCTTCTGTTCTGAACGGGGGAGGCCTACATAATTCACCCATTGCTCGTGACTCGCGCAGCCAGTCGGCCTGGTCGTCTTGAACGATGCAAAGTGAATCGATCCAGAGGTAGCCGATCCCGAGCCCGCGGGTGATCTGAACCGCATCTCGAAACGTCTTGGGAAGGTAAGCCATCGAGATTCCTTCCATGTGTCGCCGAATGCTTTCGCTTGTGGTCTTGAGGGGCTCCTTGTCGCCGGTACCCCAGCGGTAACTCAACGCGACGTACGGTGCCTTGATTCCGTTGGGTTCGAGAAGGCGAACAAGCGGATCGCCGGGCTGTCCGATGGCCAAGATTCGTCTGGGCAAAGGTGTATCTCGCAGCCCATCTTGATCGATAACCTCCCCGGCGAGCGTCACGGCGCACGAGTTGAGTTCCTTTTCCACAGGGCAGTGCCCCGCCAGGCATCTGTTGAGCCAAGACTCGAACGTCGAGAAGGTTTCGGGGCTGTCGTTGCTCAGGACGGGCTTTGTCCACGTCAGACTTGACGTTTGGCGTATCCTTTCGATATCTGCCAGGCTCCCAATTGCGCGGTCTCCGGTTGCGAGCGGCTCTGAAGTCCACTGCAGTCAGCAAGGTGCATGATGTCAGAGAGTAAGGCTCACCAATCCATACGGCAATGACTATGCTCATCACTGTCGTTTCGTCGTCGTCGAAGCCGAATTTCATTTCACTCAGCCGACCATACAGATTTCTGCGAACCTGTGATATTCTCGCCGGCTTCCCAAACCCTGAAGTGTTTTTGAGAACCACTTCTTCATGCCACGCAAGCAGAGAAGCTTCCCTTTCGGACTCGACGATGATGTAGCCGGGGTCTCTGGCTCGCTTCCATGATCGCCCTTCGGAGGTCGCAACGAGAGTGCACAACTCGCAGCTCTTATACGTCCTAACGATTTCCGCGGCAGTTTTCCATTCACCCAAGATTTCACCTTTTTCGATCCCTTCCCGGATCTTCCTCAACAGCCGGGAGCACGCATGGCATATCGTCGGGTTGGAAGCTGCGGACAAGTGCATCGGGATCTTAGAGAATACTGTTAGGTTAGTTAGCAAAGCGTTCAAAACCTGACCAGAGACTAGTCTCTAGAAAACGCACTTTCATCCCATCGGTCAGGCTCTGCCCGAGACGCGTGCTCGTTGGCACCAGGCAGCAGTGAGCCAGCGGCAGTGATTAGACGCGCGCCAAGTCGGCCGCCATGATTGGCCACCGTCGAAAACGAACAGCATCAAGCCGCATATGTATCGACTTGAACCCATAGCTCCACGGCCTCAGAAAGCTGCGGTGGTTATGACTTTCAGCTGGTTCCAGATGAAGTCTACCGCACTCGCCCCAACCGAGGACATGGAAATCAAACTACCTCGCGATTTCCTTTATGACCATGACCGCACGCGCCCATCAACTGGTCATGGAAACAGTCAGACCGAAGGCTTGAGTGAGGCATGCCCAGGATTCCTGCACAATGGCGCTATTCAATGTTATCGCCGGACCGGACTCGTTCGAGAACCAAGTCCGTGCGTGTCGGCATTGCCGTGAAGTGAAGATTCGATTCAATCCGGTCGAACATGCCCTGCCATTTTTGGGGGTACGACGGAAGGTGTAGTCTTGACAGGGAAATCACATTCCTCTCTAGGGGCGTTGTGCTGTGTTCACCGGCAAAAGCAGGTTCGCCTGGCTGGAGTTCTGGGCAAGCAGGTGCAGGCACGCGAGATTCCAATAAAACGAAGCTGTTGACGATTTCAGCTAAGACGGACCGTTCAAACGTACCCATTCGGTGATGATAGTCATCTTACTAGGTGCCTGGCGCGTAGGGAAGCGCATGCGCTACAGTTTCGATGCGAGGAATGCGAGGGCACGTATGATGTTGTCAAAAAGACAAACCCTTCTCTGGTTTGAACTGTGCTGCTCTAGGTAGGTACCGACTCACCCCGAGCTTCGAGACGCAACGACTGACGATATCCAACACGCCAAAGATTAAGGCGAGAAACCAAGGTTATAAATGCTACAAAATACTAGGAAGTGTAGAGAAACGACTTCGTCAGTATCACCTCCTATTTTCTAGGCTCCGCTTCGGTAATGGGCGTGCAGCGTCATCCGCTCTAGCTAAGTTTGCGCTTGGGAAAATCTTTAGCCGAATGTCCAGATAAAATCGGCTTCTATCTGTGCTCGCGCAAGCAACAACTGAGCGACTCCGCTGTGCGCGTGAACCAAGTCGCGACCCCAGAGGCCGAGAGCAAACCCGACATCCAATGATGCCCTACAAATGGGTACGAACCCCACACCTTGTTCTAGTTTCCAGTCAAACATGACTCACCTCTAGTACAAAGACGCAAGGGCCCGGATCCGGGTCGTTCTCTTCACGTGGAATCCGTTCTTGTGGGTTGATGCGAACGATGAATTAGTTGCGACAACAGATCCTAAGATTACTAAGCTCACCGACGCCGCAACAAAGAATACCAGAGAATATCTCGCCGCGATATTGGCCCTGTATGACAAGCATGCACGACAGATGAACGCCGTGACCGCCGAGGAATGGAAGATGGCGGGCCGCGATTCGTTGAACCAGTATCAAATATATCGGGACCGTCAGAAGCTCAGTTATTCTCACGCCCAGATGATCGACCGTCCACGCCTCTGGGGGTATCATATCCCATTATTCGTCTACAATTAGTGGGAAGACTTGAAGATTGGCTGGAAGGTATACGAGATCCCCGAGGATGATGATGGGCAGTGGGAGGCATTCGAAGTCACTGAAAGGCGGAGAAGGAGGATTCGAAAGGAGTATTACAAGGAGAGGGCCCAATTGGAGAAGGAGTTTGATGCAAAATTTCGGGAGGATGAGAAACGGATGGAGGCTGCGGATCAGCTGCTTGTTGATGTGTAAACATCAGAGAGGAGAGCTGTTTGTCGCACCCTCCATTTCGCTTTCCCTCGTACCCCATCTCATACATGGTTTTATACATATACAGGAGGCATTAGTTTAGGCATAAGCACCCGCGGCTTCAGATGTGTTAGGTAGCAAAATGGGGGGTGCGAAAAAGGGCCTCTCAGACTAGGAAAAATAGATGACTGATGAAGCAAAAAGAGAAGCAAGCGGACGTGGTCGGGAATTGAGCCCGACGTGGGGGTCGAACCCACAACCTTGAGATGCCACAGGATACCTGTGAAGTGAACCCTTAAGAGTCTCACGCTCTACCGATTGAGCTAGCCGGGCCGAGGCCGGTTCTGCTTGCTTCGATGGATGGGTGGGAGGAAAATTGACTTTTTCAGAGGCAATTCTGGTGGGAGTGTGAGTCAGTTTCAGGGTTTGCTGGGGCGGGTTGAGCCCTTTGTGGACACGCCCCACCGCTTTCCTAGGTGGCCACCCCTTGCTTTCCCTTCTTGATGTTTTACTTTGGTAATCTCAAGATTCTCATTCTACTCGTAGACGGCTCCAGGGAGCTGAGTACCTCATGTATGTCGTGACTGCCCTATGTGCGCCACAGTCTCGAACTGCATATCCTCTGCTACAAAAGGTCCATCCGAAGAGTACCAGCATTGATCAATCTGCCCTACCGCCCTTCTCCGAATGCATCGCCACCTAGCGGTACAATTCCCTCTAAAGCGTGCCCGTCTTTTTTTCATACTTTTGACGAACTACCGCTTGTCTCCGCACACAGTCACCTAGAACGTCGGAATAAATTTGTTCCTCCTCAACTCCCATCAATTCAAGACCAAGTTTCAGGTCTTCCCACCACGCGAAATGCCAAACGGCCGGTCTCATGCCAAAGTAGACCGGGCGCCTGGTCCCGCCTCGCAACCGAGCGAGCGTTCTCCGCTTTGTCCGCACCCTGTACCATCCGGGTCTGTGCCCAGAATAAGAACCTGAAAGGTTGCCACGGCATCGGTTCAGATCAGCCTTGAATTCCTATTCTAGTTTGATCATTTCGTCAAGGTAGCGGGTCTTTTTGGGGTGCATATCGATGGCATTTTCGACCTTGATGCAGGTGCCATCCCGGAACACTAACCCGCGCGCTGCCTCAAGATCCCCATCATTTGGCTGGATCGGTCGAGAGGGGTCACACATTGGTATCCAGCTAAAAAGAAGGTACCATGCGAGATTCCCAATGAAACGAAACTGTTGACGATTTCAGCTGGAATGCAGCACAAAGGGGCCGCTCGAACATACCCACTCGGTGATGACGGTCATCTTACTACCTCACCTGCGGCGGTTAGGTACTTGGCGCGCGCTGAGGAGCCCGTAACGTATATTTTTGATATGAGGGATGTATGAGTGCGTACGGTGTTGTCGATGAGACGAATTCTTCACTGGTCTGAACTTAAAGTCATCGACATCGGCACTCGACACTCGGCCCCCGAGCAGCCGACGATAAAACGCCGCCCCCCGAGCCCTCTCTCAACACGATACCTGGTAGCCGAAAACTGACACATGAACCGGTTAAGAAGGGGTGAAAATTCGAGGTTCCATCTATGATGCGAACACTGCGTTCTGCATCTACCAGACACTGTTCAGGGTCCGGTCGTTCTTTGGACCTCGACCACCCACTGCCCGTGGAAGGGCAGCACGACGACTCCGCAATCGATAACCCCGCCGTCGACAACCCCGCCTCTCCCCGAGGTACTACTGACGAAATATTTTCTCCACACTCCACCTAGTATTTTGCGGCATCTATAGCCTCGACTTCATCTTCACAAGAGAGTGTTATCAGAGTTGCCATCTCACTTCCCTCCTTCTTCATAATGTCAAAATGGATTCAAATACAAACGTAGGCCTCATCCTGCATCATCGTGGACAGCATCACGTCCAGTTGAGACGCAAGACCGCCATGGCTCGGCCGGAGGCTATAATCATCCCAGTATTGTAGCAAATGTCCACTGATAAGAACAAATAACGATGGAGTCAGGTTACTGGGTACCCAATGACCCGAAAAAGGCCCACCCCGAAAACGGTGCTAGGATCATCCAGCATGACGCGAACGTCGTGCGTGGCGCACGGCGTTGCTCGCGCCTTGGGGTACTACTTGAAATCATGAACCTCAGACTATCAAAACCGGCGTCACTAAGAATTTGAATTCTCGTAAGAACAATGGCAGTTTGAAATGGTCACATACTAGGTTATAGGTAGGCGTGATGCCGGCCAAGACATATTGGGAGGGCATACAGTCGACGCTAGCGTGCGTTGCTAGGCTCGGTAGCCTGCCTCAAGAATATGAACTCTCACTTTCTTTCCTTTTGTTCTTCTTCTTGAGTATTGCCGCGAGTTCTGAATGAGCGGGATATTCCGGGAGGCTGACGTTTACCTTCTTGGCGGTTCAGGGGTTCAGGGACTGAGCAATGTGATACGATGAGTTGGCATTCTGATCATCATCACTTCATTTTGTACCTTTCCACCCTTTCGCTGAACGAAAGACTTATACTCCGGGGTCTACGTTTTGACGCAACCTGACACCCCCGCCAGGTTTGAACGGGTTGCCCCTCGGTCAAGCTACCAGGGCAGTTGGTGGCAAAGAAATCATCGCACTGTGCCCGGCTGCCACCACTTCGCCAAGCTCGACCGCCTGGGCTAGTTTCCAGCAGACATACAAGTCATATCCGCTCTACTTAAGATGACATTTCAAGGCATCTGGAGTATTGCTCAATGCCCCGAGTCTTATCCTAGCCTCTTTTCTGCTCACGAGCATCCCTTTCAAATCTTTACTGCGCGGCGTTTTTTGACATGGACTTGACGGGACGCAAATGCGCAGCTACCGAGTCCGGCCGACAGCGCGTGGAAGCGCGTGATAAAACTAGCGGAAGGAACAACTCCACAGGGTTGAAGTCTCGTTTATTTAAGTTGGGCAGGTGCAGCACTCAAGCTTTGGGAAGGACCGATAGTCTCAAATGCGCAGCGCTTGCGGCGGAGGAAGGCGTGAACTGGGTCGGAACAGCGGAGCCAAAAGTTGATTCCCGCAAACCCTTTTCCCGTCCCGCTCGCCGGTCCCCCCTCTCCATTCCACACCATCCAGAGCATCGCGCATAGCACCTCTTGGATCCCCGGAGCTAGTTATTGTGCATACGACCACCATTATCTCAATACACTCACACGAACTGATTGATCCCCCACTCCTCCACCACACAACTTTGACTTCTGGCTGGAGGGCAGAACCACTTTCTTTCCAACAGGACCCAGAGATCAAATCCAGAGAACAGCCGCCTGAGAGAACACCGCTACGCACGCCACAACAAGCCCTAAAAACCCGGGTGAGAGAGTCACGACTGGGCCGCTCGCAACACTACTAGTAGTAGCTGTCGGCGTCGGAGTTGCCAAGGTCGACGTTGGTCTTGCCGACAGCGATGTGGCCTTCAAAGGCGCCAAGGTGAAAGTCTCTGATCCGCTCTCAATAATTATGGCTGTGGTGACTGGTGAATTTCTGTTTTTTTTATATCCTTGTCAGCTCACTTGACTCGGTCAACGTCAACGAGATGTTGGAGATTGGGAACTTTACACTCCGTCGCAGAGCGCGTTCAACCCTAGAGCCAGATCTTGCAACAAGTGTTAGACAAAGCAGAGTATCACGGTGACAGCCTGAGGGAGACATACCCGAGACGCTGGTGCGAGGACAGTTTTCCACACCACAGCTCCCCACCGAAGTCCAAATACTGGTGGCTTGGCAAGCGCACTGGATTACGTGGGCGGGATCGGATGTAAAGGCGGAGCAGTGTGAAAGCAGCGAGTGGCTGAACCAAGACGTACAAGGTGCCTTTTGCCATCAGTCTCAGGCTTCAACTTAACCCTCCAACAACAAAATGTGAGACCTGTCTCTTACCGCACAGGGTGGGACGCCTGGCACAATCCACTGGCCCGTGGCAGAAAAAATGAGGAAGGGGAGAACAAGCAGGTTGAGTATCGTGAACATGGTTCAATTTGGTACCTTACCACCGGGCAGAACTAGGTAGAGCAGCGGACAGAGGTTCTCAACTGGAGACTGGTGTTTTTCGTCAAGAGCCCCGTTTGCGGGGTCGTGCGAGCAGAAAGTATTCGAGTCTTTTGATGAATAAGGAATCGAATCATGCACCAGCGCAGACTGGGCGACGCCACAGCCCCCCCTCACATGTGGTCGTGAGAACGTGAATGGCTGCCATTTGCTGCCAACCACGTACTTTCCCCTCATTCGCCGCTGCCAGCGGACTTGGGCGAATCAAGCCGGCTTTCACTACTGTCATCCGACCGCAACCGGCGCTCGTGCATTCACGTCCAACCCCAGCCGCAGCTTGGTGGGTTGGGCATTGGGTACATACGGGTGCGGATGCAGACGCTCATATTGACCACTGAGGTGCGGTTCCTCACATTGACCACTGAAAAGCGGTGGTAAACGAGCCTCGATTCGAGAAGAAATGGCTGCGAATAATCCTGTCTAGAACAGGTAAGCACCTGAAATATTGCCCTGGGGTTCCTTCCTCTTCTTACAACACCCCGCCCGCCCCTCTTTCTATCACTGCTGGCATCGTCTCTGGCGGCCGAGATAACCAAATTGCCATGACCATGAGCTGGAGGGAATGGTCTGGGCGACTCGGACCACGAATCGCCCTCGCGCTCCACTTTTGCCTGTACACATGCCTCGCCGGGATCATGCTGGTCAAGCTGCAGGGGTACAAAGCGCGCGATGATAACTCGCCCTCCGCATTCCGGTCGCTCGGGCGCCAGAAGCTGCGGGCCAGCGACATCATCTCGCTGATCTCGGTGGCCACCAAGCTCGCCGACATCATCGCCGGATTCTGGTCCGGCATGCTGGCCGTCCGGTTCGCGCACATCGTCTGGGAGCGGGTTCGAGAGGAGCGGCCCTACGACGAGGGCAAGGTGGACAAAATCATCCGATGGACGACGCAGTACTACTTCCCGCCAACGACCATGCGCGGCCCGCAGACCATGCACAGCCCGCAGACCATATGGGGGAGGCTGTTCTCGCTGCGGTCCGTCGTTATCCGTCTGTCCTTGCTTATTTTCGGTCTGAGTTTCATCGGCGCGCCCCTGGTCGAGGGCGCTCTCGACTGGAGCTCATCCTCGCAGCTGGGCGAGCCCGGCACCAGGAGAACGGAAACAGGCAACCCAACGGCCCAGTTCTTCCGCTGGAACTTCCCGCTGGTCAATAACAAGGTCGACAGACAGGAGATTTCCGAAGCCGCGTCCCTGGCCAGCATTGCCTGGGCGCGCCAGACCACAGATGGCGAAGCAGA